TTGAGATACGAAACTTAATTGAGCTGTACAGTCAGCACAGACACACACTGACTGCTAAGCAATCAAACTCAATAACGAACAAGAAGAAACAAACAACATGGAAACAGATAACGGAGGTGATTAACGATTGCTCTGACTCCGGCTGCCTTCGGACAGAGAGCGATGTGAGGAAAAAGTGGAAAGACCTCCTGAGCAAAGCAAAAAAAAGATTTGTCTTCAAGAAAACACCACCCGACCAGCGGGGGTCCTCCCCCAAAAACTTCCGTGTACAGTACCATAATTGTGGATATCTTTGGAGAGGATTCCCCGGCTTTTATTGGTTTGGTCGGTGCGGAAAGTGGTGGTACCGATCTGGAAGAAACTGCTGTCTCTCCAGAGATGGATGTCGACCACTCAAGCGAGAGTGTGAATTATGAAGGTGTGTAGCCTATATATTGGAGTAGCCTACAATAACAGTTTTAGTAGTTGTCAGATAATAGTAGGCCTATGACAGATTCTCTGTATTTTCAGACTCGATGGAGGCCCAAGTCACTCCACAAAATTCTCATGAAGGCAGCAGCGGTGCACCGTCGGTGAAACGGAGGAGGAGGCTGGATGATCTGCAGCAGACACTTCTTGAGAAATAAATTGTTAGAGTGGAGGCTGAAACAAAGAAATTACAGGCCGAGCAGGAAAAGCTGGAACTTGAAAAACAAAAAATATTGTTAGAAATACAGTTGCTCCAACAACAGATAAGCAGGTCATCTGCGCCTATTTCTGAAGAGGATGGGCGGTCTTTTGTAATTCTTTAAATGAGCCTAACGGCAAATTGTGTGCAATGAATCAATGACAATTATATGTAAATTAAAAAAGAGTTTATTATAAACCTACTGGACTTTCTTTGTGGCTTATTTTTTATGGTTTACAACCTGGAGATAATTAGCAGAATTATTTTAAGTGAAGCAATAGTTTATAACATTTATAAAGCATTAATAATGCTTGTACGGACTAGTCGTCCACCGACATCTTCAAGCCCTGCATGGTCCACAGGGTCGGCACCTTCCTCCGGCACCGGCTGATGGTGTTGCCTAGGGAGAGGGATCCTCTTGGTGACACAGATGTTGTGGAGGACAGTGCACGCTGCTATTACGGTGCAGACTTGCTCAGGGTGCATCCGCATCTCTCCATGAAGACAATGAAACCTAGAAAAAAGAATTAATGATTAGGCTACTGTAAAACCTAAACGTGTCACGTTTGGCGAGTTTTATATAGCCTAGGCCTAGTCTATTTATATAGTTTTCAGTGATATAGTGACCACACTATATCAGCACCATGGATAGCGGCACAGACACTGCGGAAAGAATTTTACCTGCGCTTGAGGACTCCGATGCACCGCTCAACGAGGGACCTAGTGGTGGTGTGGATGGTGTTATACCGTCGTTCTTGCTCAGTCCTCGGAGCAATTATAGGAGTCATCAGCCAGTGTTTCAGTGGGTATCCACTGTCGCCGAGAAGCAGCCCATTTACTCTTCCAGCCTCGAAATCCTGGTATAACACACTCTCTCTGAGGATGCGTGCATCATGGGTAGATCCAGGCCATCTTGCCACCAAATTAAAGATGTTATAATTGGCGTCACAAGCGGTCTGCACATTGATTGAATGGTATCCCTTGCGGTTGACATACAGATACTCATGCTCAGATGGTGCCTGGATCCGGACGTGAGTCCCATCGATGCAGCCCACAAAACCAGGAATGCCAGAGCCCCAGAGGAATCGGTGTTTCATCACCGCAGACTCGGCCTCAGTGGGGAGGTGAGCAGATCGTGGAAGGCGACGGCTCAGTGCCAGTGACACTCTGTGGATGGCCCGACATGCGGTGGATTTGTGGACATTAATCATGTCTCCAACAGTGTTTTGAAACGCACCATTTGCATAAAAACGTAGCGCTATTAACAGCTGTAATGCGGGTGTCAATGCTGCGTTGTGATCCGATACAAACTGTTAGTCGGGTGACAGCTCTTCAACAAGTTCATAATATCTCTCCGACAGAATCGAAACCTCTGAATCAGCTCCTCGTCATTGTAAATGTCCAATGGATTGCTTCTGTCCCTAATAACTCTGTCCCGTCTAAAAGCCCGCTCATTGTAAAGTCTGTGTATAAGGCGCGCCAATTCTTTACTCATGAGTTATCAAGTGGTTACTATAGAAACTTGCCTAGATTTTGACTTTACGCCTGCTACTGACTAGGCTTAAGTTTTACGCCCCTAGTAACTTATGTACTAATGTGTCTTGCTAGTAATACTAGCAAGACACAGTAACAACAGCTAACGTTAACGTTACATTCAAATAGGAGCTAATATCGGTATGAGTAGCAGCTTATTCACGATTAGCAACACACTACATCTTGATCAAGCGGTACACAAAGAGGTACTTACATTCTGCAGGTTACAATATGTCAGTTACCCGTTGTTAAAACTCTTAATGTGCATAATTACTCTAGTTCAGTTTTTACCACTAACGGCTGGTGTGTTTTCTTGTCTCACTATCTTGCGACTTCACTCTACTGCGTTGCCTTACATCCCGCCCATCGACCTTTCCCATTGGTCGACAATTTGCTAAGAACCAATGCAATTAACAAAATGCAAGATAGACAGCCGCATACCCTCTGGGTTTAGGTTGAGCACTAACCGCTAAATTATATGTAAACAAACTATTTGAATTTTTTTAACACAATGACAAAGATGTATTTATTCCCCTATTTCACTCTTAAAAAATAACATTTAACTGTATTTATTCATCTCTATTTGTTTACATATTCATGAGTCAAAATGATATACTTTTTAAAACTGGGCTAACGTTACATAACGTTAAATGAAGACTAAACGTCAAATGAACACTAAACAACCTAACATTTGGTTGTTACAAAAAACAACAGGGGAAATATTTTCTTACCTGAAATCCTTAATATTTTAGCAGGCTAACTTTATGTTAGAGCCAACCGCGTCGCAGTGGATGAAGAGCAGCAGCACACCAACGTATTTTCAAACTTGACCAAGAGGCGTGCAAAATTGTCTTTGGCCAGTTACCTGAATGATTCAGTCAGATTAACCAATCATGCGCAAAGTTTAACGGTAAACCAGCCAATAGCAATTGTTTCAGCGTTGTAACGTAGAAACTGTGAAAGATGATTTGGTTTTAAAAGACAATAAATGTGTGTATTTATTGGTGTTTTCATTGCAGTGAATGATTAAAAAATGAATAATGATCAATGAAGTTTTATTAATTCCTCACCAGTACATACAGTACAGTACAAGGTTGATTTATTTAATATTTTACAGGGTTGTAAGATGAAGATTGCAGTTTATGCTACGTACACATAACATTATATAAAAAAATTATATACGCTACAAGGGTGGATAAAGTCACAGAAAGAAAACTGTTTCAATGGTGCAGTGCTGAGGATGAATTTGGGAGTCTCATAGTCTGGGTAAAAGAAGCTGCTCTGTGAGTCTGGTGGTGCGACAGCAGATCCACCTTTATCTCTTGCCAAACAGCAGCAGCATTAACAGGGTGCGGCTGGTGGGTCTTTTAGTGTCCTTTGGGCTACCTCACCGATATCACTGATGCTCAGCAGTGTTACATGTAACTGTAATCCTCACAGTGAATAGGTAAAAATGTGTAATTAAATAACAGTTCCCTATGAAAATGTTCATGATAACATTGGGGCTTACTGAATATATTCTGTATATAACTAGCCTATATGTTGAGTAATCCTCATTTTGTTGCTTTGCATGTTTTTCACGTGCACAATGTCTTCCTTTGACGTTTCCAGATACAGCCATTTAGTAAAGTTTGATGCTGTTCTGATGCGTTGATTGGTTCTCCTGTTTGAATTTGCAGCACCGTCCGTCTGTCTGCCAGTTGAACTGCCTCTCAAGCAATCTTTTGAAAATAGTTCACAGTTGAAAACTACTACGTCATTAGAAGTAATCAAAAAGAAATTAAATACAATAAGTGTTATTGCTTTGATAACGTAATTGAAATACACTACTATAACATTTTAAATAGGCTAACTTGTAATTGGTAACCTATTACATTTCCAAAGTATCCTTCCTAACTCCGTTGCTTCGAAGATGGATGCCAATGAACTACCCACTGCAGACCGCATCCCATGCAGTTAGTGATAGATCCAGTCAGGAAGCTTAAAAGTTATCAGGAACTTGGCACAGGAATTGAGCCTTTTTACATTTCCTTAAGAAATCCAGCCATTTTTGTGTTTTCTTCACCAGTGTGAAGATGTATGATGTCCATGGTAGTCTTTGTGATGCTGATTCCCAGGAACATAAAACTGTTCACCTGCTCCACCTCAGCTCCTCTGATATGTAGGTAGATTGGTAGACAGGATTGTATGTGCCTTTGTCTCCTTTTTCTTAAAATACCTGTTAAGCAGGTTGTTCTCCCGATATGAAGAGTTTCATCGTTTAATATCCAGCCAGTGATGGAAAGAGTTCTCTCCGTGTTGGGATGTAATTGTGGGTGTAGAGCGTGAACAGGGGTATGTAACAAATTCACATTCTGATCAGATAACAAAACACTTAAAGCTGGTTCTATACCTTATGAGTGTGTTTGTGAATAGGATGAGCATCTCTGTTCACCATTTTCTCTGTAAAGATGTTGGATCGACTGTGTTGTGTTTAACCCATGTGTAAATAAAGCTGACTCTACTTTATTTGATTTAAGAAAAATATCAATAATAATAACATGTATGGTTTTGTTGCACAATTCCAGAATGTGGAAATCACATGATTTTTCTGAACAGCAGGCCTTTTCCAGTTTAATGAAACACAAATAATCTTATTTTTAATTCACTTATTTATTTTATAAATGTTAACACACTCTTAACTTTTTTACTGTGCAATGGCCATTGTTGTTTCAGCATCATCAGAATTCTAAATTGGCTCACTGGTAATCAAGTTTTAACCAGCAACAAGCAGACCAATAGGAGCTGACTCTGCAGCTTGCCTGCTGCTGCGCACTGATGCTCATCGCAAAGTCTGCAGAGAGCATGGACGACGCGGTCTTTTCTTCGACGGCCTAACATTGTTGTACACTTTTTCGGCTGTTTTCGCATTTTGCGGGTATTTCCCCAATTGAAGAAGAAGGTAAGAAATAAGTCTAACTACCGTACAAGCCTAGAAACGTTTACCGACGGTGGCTTTATGAAGCTAACGTTAGCTAGCTAGCTAAGTAGCTAAGCAACCTTGCCAGTTAACGTTAGGCATTAACATTAACGGTAGCACATTCTGACCATGTGCACCAAGTGTTAGTAACTTAGTTTAAAGAAAGGTTCTTGGTTTATTAATTATCAGTGATTTTCTCACGTAACAATTAAACATTTCTTGTTGTGTTATTTGCAGCATTTTAAGTTTGTACAGACTACAATTGCAGACGGTGACGTTACTAACTTCACAGCGGGCCGCTCTTCAGAACATCTTGCCTTCGACGACAGGGAGAGTTGGTTGACCGCTGCCCTTGGTATGTCGCATCTCACACATGCAACCTTAGTTTGAGGCAGTTTGTGAGTGTGTGCACAGTGGTTATGTAGAGTTTTTGCTTACCGTGTTATAAATTCAGAGTGCAGTTATTACTTGCAGTGTTATTACTCTGAGTTCCTAATTCCTTGTATGCAGGATAACGTAGTCAAGAGATTGTCTAACATTGGGCTACAATGGCATATGTTACGCCAAAGTTTACTTGCCGCTCATGTGATATGTCCCTGAAAACTATTAAAAGCTATGTTGATCATCAGCTACTATATAGACATGAGGCAAACAGTTACTATCCATGTTGCTTTTCAGACTGCAAGCAAAAATTAAAAAAGTACACTGCCTTAAAAGCTCATGTCCATCTCAGACATTGACAGTGTTGTGTTGGACAGATTTGTGCAGCGTGTTCCATGAGGGAGAGAGAGCGAGAGAGGGACGAGCAAGAGGAAGTGCTGCGCAAATGCGCTACCACGCTCTGCAATGAATTTAAATAGGCTTAGTAGGAAAAAAAAAGAAAATCAATCTGTAGTGGTCAGCGTTGATATTGTGGCGGGCTGCCACAAATAAATGAACTTGTGGGAAACATTGACCCTGGACACCCTGCATTGTGGTCTGTGGTAGGTTGTGCTGTAAAATGATTTTCATCTGTAGGTGAAATTACTTATTTTGAAACATTTGGTTAACACATGTAATGGGTCAGAATGACTGCACTATACACTGCAAAAACAAACATGCTTAGAGCTGAAGAAATCATGTAACATAATTTCTTGTGTTATTGTTAAAGTTCCTTGTCTTATGTATTTTTACTTGGCACAGTTTCTGTTTGCAGTATAGACAGAATGTGAGCTATTCAGTAATAAAGTTAACAAAGCAGTGTGCTCAACACAGCTCCTGGCTTACTTAACCTCATTGGATCCATATACCTGCTATTTTTTGGCCATGGTAATCATACTGTACTTGCACTTTTCACAGGTAACAGCCCACTCACTGCCAAGATGTTCATGGTTGCAGAGGACCAGGTTATAGTCACCAAACAGCTTCCCAGCTTTACTAACGTGTTCCAGATGATGTTCTGCTCATATAACCTGCACAACATTGACTATCCAGTGGAACTTGCAGCTACACTGGAGTTCTGCCAGAGGTATGGATTGAGTGTGCATTACACTGAAGCACAGGTCAAAGTTGATCTTGTTTATATATTTGGGTAATTGTCATCAAAGAGACCTGAATATCATTTATTTTTGGGTTTTAAACAGTATTTCTTGTGTTTTGCATCATTTTTTACTCCAATTAAGGATTATACAGCAACAATGCTGTTAAAATGTGCACAGTTTTCACTTGTTAAGCTCTAAAACATGTTTACGTTAAAGTTACAAAAATCAATATTAAATGCTTTTTGGTGCAGTACAATTAGCCTTTGCAATGTGAGAGTCATCACTGTGGGTCTGCTTTCCACCATGTACTGCCACCCTGTTATTTCCCCAAAACACTTTTTTTCGACTGTGTATTTACAGTGGTGGATGAAGTATTTAGATCCCAGACTTAATACCACACTGTGAAAATACTTCAAAACCTTAAATAAAAGTAAAATGCTAAGTGTACCTAAAATTTCAAAGTAAAAGTACTTATAGTGCAGTAAAATGTTCCTGTCAGTGTTTCTCTATTATATCTGATGTTTCTGGTTTAATATTCCTGCTGCATTAATGTGTATGTTGCATTTAACTGCTGTAGATGTTTAAGGTTGAGTTCATTTTTACTCCTTTACATACTGTTGGGTAGTTTAATATGCAGCAATGCGTCATATTCAATTGTGTGTTTGTAGTATCACTGTCCTGTGAGAATCATGTATCTCTAAGCAGTCCGAAAAACAGCCTGTTTTCAGCTATGTGACAAAGCATTTTCCAGCTGAACTAAGGCAGGTTTAAATAGATTATTTAGCTGAAGGAGGAGGAGTAATTTCTCAGCCCATTAAGGAACACCATCATTGAATTTATCACTAACATGTGGAGATACATTTTTTTTACTGAAGGGTATGAAAAACTGTTATCGAAAGTAACTACTAAAAACGTAAAAAGAATTATACCTACGTCTGATATGTAGTACGTAAGAGGTATAAAGTTGCATGTACCTCAAATTTGTACTGAAGAACAGTACTTCAGTAAATGTTCTTAGTTACATTCCGCCACTGGTGTTTACAGTTTTGAGTTCTCAACACCCTCTAGTGGTCAGAAATTGCTAGGTGCAGCTTCAAGAATACTTAACATTGTTTCACATATTTTTAATGCCAGGACTAGTTATCAATCTGAATGTGTTGCGTTGAAAGAAACCTTTTTTTTTTCACAACAGATGCATTTTCAAAATCAACCCAGCTCAAGGGACCAAAGTCACACAAAGAGAAAAGGGACGCCAGTATGCTGTCAATCCAAGGGTGCTGAGCCTCATTTCCAAAATTGCCAATTTTGAGTGGAGAGAGTAAAGAGTAAGAGCACACGCTCACCAAACATACACAATCATCAGTCAAACAATAAATCAGTTCATATTTCAGTTCCATACCACCTCTAATGTTGGTTTTGGGAACAATAGCAAACCAAGGTGATGATTTGCTTTGCATCGTCATAGAGATGAAACTGTATTGAAACTTTAATACAAAGATTATAATGTAGTGACCAAAATGTCACTTAATCTGTATAATATGCTGAAAATGTTTGAAAGGTTCTGATGCACATACTGAAACCATTTCCACCTCAACAAATGTGTGTGTAAAATGGTGGCACTGTAGAGCCCTTAATGTATGTGTATATATTTATATATACACATACATTATTTTGCTCGCATATGCTCCTAAAAATCGATACATGCAAACGGAAAAATTATTTACGAGCACAATGTGCGAGTAACTACAACCTACTGAACCCCCCCACCCTGGACGCGACGCAAGCTAGTGTCAGTCAAATGAGAGTTGTGGAAAATGTGTCGGGGAAAAACATAGCTAGTCACCGGAGCACCGGGAGAGATCCCGGTGGGCGGGTCGCTTGGTGACCGCTTGAGCAGCTTGTTACAAAAAGTGAGTCAGAAGACAGCAGGGAGAAGATAAGGAGGTTGTGGGGTTGGTTAGCTGGATATTTAGCTACATACGGTTCCTTTTGTTGAAACATGTTCAACTTTTCTTAAAATCGATGTCCTCATCAACGTCACTTTCGTCAACTGACCAATCACAGCCTGGATGGGGCGGGATATAAAAAGTTTGACGCGCTACAGTAAACTTTCATTTCCTGCATGAATGGTTCTGATTATTGATGAGATAGTAGCTTTAACAAATTAAGAGGCCAGTGTAGGCCATTTTTCTTGCACCAAGATTTAATGAGTGAAAACATGAAACTGCTTTTTTGTCCAACTGGAATTAATATTATACTAGTGGTGGGCTATATATAGGCTATTACTATATACTATTATATAAAATGACAATATAGTATAATTAATATATTAACAAACTAACAGTATACTATTAGATTAAAATTTAACATTAGTCTAATATTATAATATATAAATACTAATTAAACTAGTTTCTCCATCATGTTGTGTGAAAGAGCCTCTGCAGTGGCAAGATGCAGATTACCACTGCAGAGGATGCTGGGTCTGAAGGGTCCTAATGTCCATAGTCCTCTAATGGCTTGACGCCATAGTTGTAAGGTGGGGGGGTGGGCGTGTCAGTACAGTGTTTCACACATAATTACCCTGTAACTGTGGTGCTGGGCACGGGTGGGGTGTGCAATCGATATTGAACAGCAGCTAGTACAGCGTGCTAACCTCGACAACCCAACTGTAACGTTAACATAGCTACAGTGAGGAAAATAAGTATTTGAACACCCTGCTATTTTGCAAGTTCTCCCACTTAGAAATCATGGAGGGGTCTGAAATTGTCATCGTAATTGCATGTCCACTGTGAGAGACATAATCTAAAAAAAAAAAATCCAGAAATCATAATGTATGATTTTTTTAAACTATTTATTTGTATGATACAGCTGCAAATAAGTATTATTTAGTATATATAGTATGAACACCTGTCTATCAGCTAGAATTTTGACTCTCAAAGACCTGTTAGTCTGCCTTCAAAATGTCCACCTCCACTCCATTTATTATCCTAAATTAGATGCACCTGTTTGAGGTCGTTGGCTGCATAAAGACACCTGTCCACCCCATACAATCAGTAAGAATCCAACTACTAACATGGCCAAGACCAAAGAGCTGTCCAAAGACACTAGAGACAAAATTGTACACCTCCACAAAGCTGGAAAGGGCTACGGGGAAATTGCCAAGCAACTTGGTGAAAAAAGGTCCACTGTTGGAGCAATCATTAGAAAATGGAAGAAGCTAAACATGACTGTCAATCTCCCTCGGACTGGGGCTCCATGCAAGATCTCACCTTGTGGGGTCTCAGTGATCCTAAGAAAGGTGAGAAATCAGCCCAGAACTAGACGGGAGGAGCTGGTCAATGACCTGAAAAGAGCTGGGACCACCGTTTCCAAGGTTACTGTTGGTAATACACTAAGACGTCATGGTTTGAAATCACGCATGGCACGGAAGGTTCCCCTGCTTAAACCAGCACATGGCAAGGCCCGTCTTAAGTTTGCCAATGACCATTTGGATGATCCAGAGGAGTCATGGGAGAAAGTCATGTTGTCAGATGAGACCAAAATAGAACTTTTTGGTCCAAATATTAACATTGATTTTCTCAGGTGTTCAAATACTTATTTGCAGCTGTATCATACAAATAAATAGATTATGTCTCTCACAGTGGACATGCACCTACGATGACAATTTCAGACCCCTCCATGATTTCTAAGTGGGAGAACTTGCAAAATAGCAGGGTGTTCAAATACTTATTTTCCTCACTGTATACTTCTTAGCTTGGCTCCTTACATGCTACTTATAAGTTATTTGAAGGTGGGTCTCCGAACATTGACAGGGTTGTGTTAAGAAAATAGATAGACATGACTTCTTAGAATTCACAACTAGAATCCTCTAGTTTTTCTATAAACACACAGCCTCGTTTCCATTTGTGAGAGAGAGAGGGAGCGAGCAAGCAGAGGTGCTGAGCAAATCTATGCGCTGTGGGAAGCTTTGCAATGAATTATGATTTTACTCCTATTACTAGTATATGTGGCGGTCAGCGTTGATATTGAGGCGTGGTGTCGCCACAAATAAATAATTAACAAATTCATTTTAATTCAGTCAGAAACTCACGGACTGAATCTTGAAAAATGTTTGCATATATCCCACACATCTGTGTAATCTGACATCTCCAGAAAGATTATTATGAGAATAATGTCATCATTTAATCACAATTCACAATATTTTTCAAAATCTCCCAACCCTATAATCTGCTGTTCATTAACTTGCTCTGCTGATATGACTGAATCCCAGACAGAGAGACACAGAACCCGTTTGGGAGCACATGGATGAGACCCGTGCAAAACAAAACTAACTGAAAAAACTTCACCACAAATCCTCATGTTAACCTCAGCAGTTTTGTGCAGCTCACATTACCAACCGAACAAAGCTGTGCTGATTATACATTTTTAGATTGCAAAAGTCGACCAGCCACGTTACCCGATCACAAACGGTCTGCCACTCACTGTGCGATAGCAGGTTCGCTTGATTCCTGTCACAGCGTCCGCCAGTGTCGCATCGGCTGGGTGGTGTTATCGCGCGAGTCAACGGAATTTGTTATAGACTGCATTAGTTTTTTCAATGCGTGAGAAAATAAACATATGGCGTGAGGGCGTGTGGAAAGCGTCAATTGCGTGAGTCTAACGCTCAATGCGTGACAGTTGGCAGCTCTGAGTAAGTAGAGTGGCTAATATCACTTTTTTAAGGAGAATGCTAAGTAACTAGTAGGTAATAGCTATAGGCCTATTATTTCTGAGTAACTTGCCCAACACTGAGTTGATAATAAGGATCAGATAAATTGGGAATGTTTTAATTATTGCTTGTTATACAGGCTATGTCTGTCTTGCTGTATGAATGGTTGCTTTTCAAGTTTTAGGGTACCCGCAGGGTCTTAAAAGTCTTAAATTTCATATTCAAGAAATAAGACCTTAAAAGTCTTTAAATTTCATTACAAAGGTATTAAATTTCATTTACCAAGGTCTTAAATTTTTTCTTGTCCTTTCGTAGGATTTAATTAATGCCGTAACGTCATAAATAACAAATAACAATGTCGGACACCGTAGTTTTCTCTGGACCCCTGCCAAATCTGACCAGTGATGACATGTATAGCCGCATGTCGTCATTCCGCCGCTGGTTGTCGAGGTGGTGTCCAGCAAACGATGTGGGCTTTGTTGATCATTGGCAGACTTTCTGGGGAAGACCTGGTCTGATCCGGAGAGACGGCATCCATCCCACTTGGGAAGGAGCAGCTCTCATTTCTAGAAATCTGGCCAAGTTTATTAGTGGACCAAATCCATGACAACCCAGAGTTGAGACCAGGAGGCAGAGTCGCAGTTTAACACACTTCTCTGCCCTTCTTTTTCAGCAGTTACCCACCCAAAACCCTACGCAGAGTCGCAGTCTAACACACTTCTCTGCTCCTCCATTTCAGGAGTTCTCTTTACCAACTAACTTCAATAATTTCTTCATCTAAACCATCAACCTGCCTCTTAGACCCCATCCCGACTAGGCTGCTTAAAGATGTTTTACCCTTAGTCAGCACCTCTATACTAGATATGATCAATCTATCTTTATCAACAGGCTATGTACCACAGTACTTTAAAGTAGCTGTAATTAAACCTCTTCTGAAAAAGCCCAAACTTGATCCGGATGTTTTATCAAACTATAGACCTATATCTAACCTTCCATTTCTCTCTAAGGTTCTGGAGAAAGCAGTTGCTAAACAGCTGTGTGACTTTCTACAGAGCAATAGTTTATTTGAGGATTTTCAGTCAGGATTTAGAGCTCATCATAGCACAGAGACAGCACTGGTGAAAATTACTAATGACCTCCTTATTGCATCAGACAAAGGACTTGTCTCTGTACTGGTTTTATTAGATCTTAGTGCTGCATTTGATACCATTGACCATCAGATCCTATTGCAGAGACTGGAATATTTCATTGGCATTAAAGGAACCGCTCTAAGCTGGTTTAAGTCCTATTTATCAGATCGATTTCAGTTTGTACATGTTAACGATGAGTCCTCCATGCACGCCAAAGTTACTCATGGAGTTCCTCAAGGATCTGTCCTTGGACCAATCCTCTTCACTTTATATATGCTTCCTTTAGGCAATATTATCAGGAAACATTCCATAAGCTTTCATTGTTATGCAGATGATACTCAGTTATATCTATCGATCAAGCCAGATGAAACTCATCAGTTAGCTAAACTTCAAATGTGCCTTCAGGATGTTAAAACCTGGATGAGCTGTAATTTTCTTATGTTAAACTCAGATAAAACTGAAGTTATTGCTCTGGGGCCTAAGCACCTCCGTGACGCATTATCTAAAGATATAGTTTCCCTGGATGGCATCGCCTTGGCCTCCAGCACCACTGTGAGG